ATTCATGTCACATAGCATTAACATTGAACCTTTCTTCTAAAGGAGCAACCTTCTGTCAATCGTGCTTTGCCACCAGTTGGTGTGCATAGAATAGTACGACATCCATCGCATTCCACAGGTTTTTGTGCATGTGAAAAAATAGTTTTGATTGCATAGCATCCAGGACACTTAACATCCATAAAATAACTATTAGGTTTCTGCACGAGTCTCTTCAACTTGTGCTTCCTTTTCTCCTCAATGGGACTTGGGTGCAGAAGATCACGAGCTAATGGCATTCTGAAATAAAAATATTTAATGTAATCTTCAAGTTTGGAAATTCATGATGCAAAAATACCGTATACATTTAAACAGATTAGATTAAATTATTCTTTTAATAAGACATCTTAAAACAAATTGTCCAACAAATTATATATGTTGCTCAAGATTGGTTAACATTAAAAAAACATTAATTTAATTTCAAAAACATAATACTATTCACATAATTTCGATATTTGTATTATAAAATCGTAATATTAATAGATATATTGAAATAACTTTTTTCAACATAATTATAACGAATTGATAAAATATGCAGCATTGAATGCTACAAACACTGTTCGATCATTTCTACGTATGTAAGAAATATTTCTGTTCTAACACATTTTTATGAATTTTTATAATAGTGTAGAGGTTCTATGTTTTAAACAATATATTTACTTACTTTTTTAGGTAGTATTTCACTTTACATTAAATAATTACAATCTGAACCACGTGTTCTTACAGCGAAGTTAAGATCTAAAAGGACGAATACCCATCCTATGAACATAAAGTTTCTAGAGTGGCGCCACTATAGTTACTCGTCAAGAGTAGCATATACTGTATAAATTTTCTTGTCCAAATTACATTACTAAGTTCAGATAAAAATTGGACATGTTTTGTTTGACGAATTATAAAATCATGAATTATGGTAGAGATCAGTTAAAGATACTGGAAAATAATAAATTATTTAGATAATACATTATTGTTAAGTATTTTTTTTTTTTTTTTAATATTTTTTTGGCTCTTTTTATATTATAATTTTTTTCATTGGATTACTAAAAGTTGATTTAATTTTATTATAAGTTATAGTTACTTTAATAGTTCTAAAGTTTAATAATTATTTTTTCTTTAATCGTAATTTGTTCTTCATATAACAGACTCTTAAAAGGTAAGAATTTTAATATATTATAAAATTATTTGTATATTTATTTAAAATGCAAGAAGTTTTAAGAGACCGCAAATAGCTAAATTTGAAAAAAATCAACCTCTCAGCTGTTTCTCGCTTTGTTATACGATAATTTTCATCCACCATTTCCTTTATTTTGCCGTCATGTTCTTGAACTGGACGGAAACGTAGTACATCTTTCAAATTATCAAAACGAAATTTAAAAATGCAATTTAAAGGTTATCGTTTACTTAATACAACTTTTGTATAAATAATACATAATTTGTTTCTGGCTTACACTAATACTCTTAACGATAATAAAAAAGTAAAGTATTACGAAAATTCTCACTGTAATTTTCTATTTCTGATGCGAATCCAGCAAAAAACTACAGATAGATCAAAACACAAGAAAATTTTTAATAATATTTGAAATATTTGCTGTTATAGGAAAAAATGATTTTAGGTTTAAAAAAGGGTTTAGTGGGATTACATTTTGTACACCCCCTATATTTTAAAATTATTTATTACTGCATTGTTAAAGATTTAAGTAATCGTGTTAAGATTAACACTGCAGAAAAGTATAATTAAAATGTTACCGAATACTTGTTAAGCAATTTATGAAAATGACATGGAACATGTAATGCATACAATATTCGATTATGATGTAAATTAATGTTTAATTGTTAAATAAGCTATTATAATTATTATTAATATTATCTTGACATAAATTAAAAATAAA